ATTGACAAAAATTTAGATTAGACTCAAAAGCAGATCTGTTTACTTTGACAATGTAAAAAAAATCTTTCCTGTTCAATGACATTTTGGAAAAGGCAAGCAAATTTCAAAATGGACGAAAACCCCACAGACACGCAGAACTGGTTCAGTTATTCAGTTTTAAGCACGAAAGCACTGTTGTGCAGTTTCAACATAATGTGTGCACTGTGCATCACTGAATAACAAAGCATGCTTCAGAAATCGAGAAAGAGGCATTGATGTGCTGTTCTATGAGGAATAAGATCCTGCCAAATAAAATCGTTTAGGGCTGCTTCAATATGTTTGCAACCAGCTAGTAGCTATTTCTTGAAAGGTCAACCAATGCGCAGAACGCATGTGAGCAAAGATGCTGATACATACTTTATTATAACATCCTTGAAAAATCCTTTATACCTGCTTTCTAGCAATTTGTATTCATATTTGATTGGCAACTGCACCAGACATGAATATTGCCTAAATATTTTTATGCCGTTTTTGTTGGTTGTATTGATCAAAACACTTAACATATGCAGAGCTAGAGCACTTTAACAAACAGCTTTTTTAAATAATAATTAAAAAAATATATATATTTGAAGCAGATACACTGATAATATTAAGCATCTGTTTCGGAGAGAAAGGGAATGATGTGTGTAAAATCTGGTTAAGCACTTTGCGGTGCTCCACATATAACATGCTCTCTGTGTCAGGCTCTTGAAATAGCGTTTGAAGAGTCTGTTGGCAGGCTCTTGTCAAGAAACGCTCAGGTAACTGCAACAACTGCCCACTTGTTATTGATCTGGGTGAATAGAGTGATACAGCTCAAGTTCAATAACTGCTCAGATGCTGTACTGATATGGAGATATGATGAGTTATGTAATGCACCAGATAACACAACAAATAGATTTCTATAAAAGTCCTCCGAGTATGAAATATGTCATACAGCAGTTTCAACTGTTGAGCTGTTAATTCTTTCTGTTCACAGTGCATAACGATGTGAAGATTTATTTAGCCAGAAGTAGTACTCGAGCCAGTGTATTAACAACAACAACAACAACAAATAAATGAGATATAATGGAAAATAAAATGGATAAACATATCAAAACAAGTAATAATAGAACTGCATAAAATTAAGAAAATAAACATTTACAGCAATGTTAACACACATACATATATGAAATATGTAGGCAACTCTTGTTATATATTATTCAGGTTTCTGTTCACAGTGCATAACGATGTGAAGATTTATTTAGCCAGAAGTAGTACTCGAGCCAGTGTATTAACAACAACAACAACAACAACAACAACAACACATACATATATGAAATATGTAGGCAACTCTTGTTATATATTATTCAGAGGTTACAAAAATGTTTTATTTGCTGTGCATCATGTATTAGGTGCATTGTGGCTCGTAAAGACCCTTTATATAAAAAGCCAATTTCACAGGCAGAAAGAAAACATTTTCAGTTAATTTACAACCTTTCAGAAAGTGATACAGAAGCAATTTGGTTCTTCGATATTGGTAGACATAAAAGTCCTCTCAACATTCCTTTGAGCAAAAGTAATGCATCTAGGTTTTACAACCCTTCCTATGTTGGCTTATTTCTTATTCAATACACCCAGCTCTGTGCCAAAATGTAGTTATACAATCAGTGAGATAAATTACCCATCTATTTAGCATAAAAAACAACCTTATAATGACCAGAAGGAGTCTGGGACTGGTAGTCTTTGCTGTCCACACAATCTAAACACTGTTATTAATGTCTACATGTCTTGCCAGCTGCCAGTGTGTCCCTTTTAATTCACAAAAACAAGTCGGCATAATGTAAAGAATGTAATGTAAATTTAATGTCTTCTTTAACACTTGATTGTCTTGTGCATCATCAGCAGCCACTGGCCTTAAAACCAATAACCGCCACTCTTTCTTTCATTCATTTGGGCCATATAAAATACCATTATCACAAAACAATAAAAGGGAAGCATGCAAACATTTTAAAGGAATAGTTCAACCAAAAAAAATGAAAATTAGCTGAAAATGTCCTCACCCTCAGGCCATCCAAAATGTAGAGGAGTTTGTTTCTTCATCAGAACGGATTTGGAGAAATTTATCATTGCATCACTTGCTCACCAATAGATCCTTTGATGTTAATGGGTGCCGTCAGAATGAGTCAAAGAAACAAATCTTTCGTAATATAAATGTTATATTATGAGTCCTCTATCCATATTGCTTGCCCCATGAAAAAAGTTTGCTCGTCTGAATTAGGAGAGAACTACGCACAGATTTGGCATCGTGCACAATAGTCCAAAACAGTTCTTAACAAGTCAGAGGATTTTGATGTGAGAGGACAACAGGGGATGGACTTTTTTTTTTTTTTTACTGGAGGAAGTGTTATTATGGTGTGGCTAGAAGTGATGATTTTAAGTTAAAAATGTGTTTACAATGGATTTGTTTAATACAAACTTGCAACTTTTCGCTTCACAAGACTTACATTTATGGACTGGAGAGGGTGTGGATTTCCTGTGGATTATTGTTTTTATCAGCTGTTTGGACTCTCATTCTGACGGCACCCATTCACTGCAGAGGATCCATTGGTGAGCAAGCAATGCTACATTTCTCCAAATTTGTTTTGATGAAGAAACAAACATCTACATCTTGGATGCCCTGAGACTGACTAAATTTTCAGCAAATTTTATTTTTGGGGTGAACTGTTCCTTTAAGCACACTGGATGCTCTATATGTAAAGCAGGCTATTTGATATGATCCGTCAGCCAGACAACCTGAGTTTGGCTTTGCATGTAGCATTAGATCAGAGCAACCCCAGGACAATTTTAAATGTTTAGAAGTCAACCCCCCTTGGCTTGTAAATATCAGTGCGATCACCAACCCCTGACAGCTGACCAGAGAGAGATAAAGATAATGTATTCCGTCTGAGAGTCACCTTGCTCATCAAGCCAACTCACGTCAAGCCAGCTTCATCATATTAAATGCGCCAACTGACTACTTATCACATGTAGTCTGCTATAAAGAGAGAGTAGAAACATGTAATCTGGAATTAATGTGATTTATATGGCGGTATGCTTAAAAAACTAGCTTATATGATATGAGCATGTCTGCCTTTAAAGTCGAGGACACAAGGGCGAAATTCTGCTTTATGTGTCCCTCTAAGGACTGAGTCACAGTTCACAAAACCATTGATCCAGTGAGCGCAGCTTTCAGTGGGATTTACTCTAATTAAAACTTTTACGAGATCATAACATTTTATCAGGTGCTTAATATTCATTCCCAACTTTATGGTTTTGCAACTCTTGATGAAAGATGAAGTGGACAATAGGACGTGTAGATCTTAAAATGATCATAATGGTCATGCTTTGTTATTGTTATGCAAATCTTTGTTGACGACGGTTAATATAACCAATCATTCAAAGCAGTCCATAATCACTGAGTTTTTTAAAATGCCCTTCTCTATTGCATTTATTTCAGACAAGTAATCAAAATGCACAGCTCTACTGTACGTCCCTACGGCAGCTAGACTTTTTAAACAGCGTTGTGGACTGGTTAAATGTCAGCCATGGATTTGTTCCATGAAGGACGGCAAAATAAAGGGTTTAGATTGTTTGCTGTGAGTCAGAGGGATTATTCAGATGCAGCACAATGGCTTGTAATCTACCGGTCTGCAGGGAGAGCAGCTCAGAATTTACATTATCAAGGCTCTATGAAGAGACCAGATCCCCACAAAGTCCAGTGCTTCCAAAAGAATAAATAAATAAATAAATAAAAACAGCAAAGTTTGTGCAAATGGTAATCTGCCCCTTTGGAAAACTCTGGCTTTCAATCCACTTATTTACGGAGTTTAGCTCTAATGGTTTCAATTTTAGCTTTCACAAGTGTGAAGGAAGATATACACAGAATGACTAATGTCCAATTGGGAGAGAAAAGAAGTGTTTTTATTACTTCTGCACAATGTATAATTCATGCAAACAGAAAACTGCATCCAACAACATGGTGACAGTCATTGGCAGAGCTTGTTTTGTGGGTGCAAACTCCATAAATTGGATCAAGCCATCAAATAGCATTAAAATTGTGAAAGTGACAGAGCAGATTTGATTGTGAAATCATGCATCACAATCATTGTTTAAAAAGGCTACAAATGTGTTTCTTTCATTATGACACAAACAGCATGCATGTTAAGTCATTTTTCTATATTCGGAAGAGGAAATTGATGGAAAATGGCACAAAATTGTTCATGACATATTTATTAAGTTTGCTCGAGTTAAGCGCTTTTTCTGAATAATATTACAAATTTATGTTAGAAAGCTTCGCCTGTTTAATTTGTCATGGGTGAACCAGCTGAAGTGCCGCTATAGGAGATAATAGTAGAAGTCAAATGTCCAAATAATACAAACCTTTACCATACACATATTTAAGGAATGTGTACACAAATAATGGAGGGACAGTTCACCAAAATGTAGATTCTGTCATTATTTACTCAACCTCATATCATTTCCAACCTGTAAGCTATTCTTCCTTGTGCTGAAAATGAAGGTTTCATGAGGCTTTTTGTTTATGGGGTCCAAAGCATCACCCATTGTATGGACCAAAGAAAGGAATTCATATATGTTTGGAATGATATGAGGGAAGTAAATGACAAAATTGTATTTTTAGGTGACCTATTTCTGAGTAAACGGCTATTAGATTTAGAACAATGTTCTGTAAACACCACAGTTTGAAATGCACGTCCGTGACTCATGCTTTGCTGCAACACAAACACATTTTCACCAACATGACCTGTCACTCTGTGGAGCCTCAGGCCTGACGGGTCAATTGGGGAGACAATAAAAGATAAAGTCACAGGTGGACACAGCAGCCTGTGCAGGTGTTAGTTAAGTTCCCCCTGTCACCCGCATAGATCAAACAGTCATATCAAACTGACAGAAGTGCACATTGCTCGGTCCCAGCTCAACTCCGGTCTTCCTCTTTCCCACAGGTTGGCTTTGAGCAGTTTCTCTAGGATGAGCTCCAACTGCTCAGATGAGTTTTTCCAGGCCACAAACCATGCGGAACAGACCTTTCGAAAGATGGAGACCTATCTTCAGCACAAGCAGCTGTGTGATGTACTTTTGATAGCTGGAGATCACAAGATCCCCGCACACAGGTGAGTCTCCGTCGAATCGAGTCTTCTTACTTTCAAATGTCCTACTTTCATTTACGAAAACAGACAAATCAACTGGGCAGAAGGGAACGCTGCTTAAAATGCAGTGCAGTACTTCTGCAGAAATCAACTGAAAAGAGACTGAATTCACATTCATCATTCTTAGACAGAATCAAACTATTCGACAGCTACTTAAAACGGAATGCTAGTATTAAAACTTTCGATTAACTCTTAGTTAACTGTAGAGGAATAGTTCACCTGGCTTTCTTTTACAGAACATGAAAGGAGACATTTTAAAGAAAGAACTGTTTGGGTTTTTTATGAAATAAATTTGGACTGGAGCTTTTGAGTTTCTGCACAAACACCAAAAAAAGTGTTGCTTATGATTCATATGCTATATTCTTGTATAGCCTTCTGATGTTAGCTTTCTGTGAGAAACAAAATAGTTCAAAATGAAAAAAAAAAAGAAAAGAAAATTTGGTTATTTACTCACCCTCATGTTGTTTCAAAACTTTTGATGTGTTTTGGTTGAGTGGACTTTCACTGTGTAGATAAAAAGTATGAACGATTTTCAGTGAATAATGATTTTCGGTCTACATCTCACACAATAGTACGGCTTCAGAAAACTAGAAATATAGCACACAAAATTTTTTGATGCTTCTGCATTCTTTTTGAAGCTTGAAAGATCAAGGCCAATTCATTTAAATTTCATGGAAAAGGGCGATGAGCACATTGTTCAAAAATCTAAAAAAGTCTTTGGGTTTGGAGCAACATTACGGTAAAAAAAGTGAAAACTCTTTTTGTGTGAACTGTTCCTTTAAGGACAGATATGCAAATGGTAGCATCAAGAAGTGTCAAAACTGTGCTGCACGCTCCATTTCAAACTACGGCGCATGTTGAACTTTCTTCAACAGTGTTTATTTAAAGAAATCTCTCGGCCGCTGAGTGTTTTGATGCTATTCTGTTGAAAAATTCTCTGTAGCCAAATCTCTGCTGCGTGTCCCAGTTTGACACTGAGCTCAATCAACATCATCCCAGAGCTGCATGAAACAACCTGGTGAAAATAGCTGCGCTGAGATAAATCTTTTTTTGTAGGGAGGAATTTTCTACGAAGACGGCTCTCGAGAAGTTGTTTGAGTTGATCTCGAAGTATGCAGTCGCGTATATAAACCACTTGCACCGTTTTTTGCAGACTTGTCCTGAGCGCGGTTTCAGACTACTTTGCTGCCATGTTCACCAGTGATGTGAGGGAGGCAAAACAAGAGGAAATTAAAATGGAGGGTGTTGATCCTGGGGCGTTGCGAGCGCTGGTTCATTTTGCATATACTGGTGAGTATCTGCATTCCACTTGCGGACTATTTAAATGTGCTGTTCGCAGCAGAAGTGTCACATTCCCCTCAGTATTTTGTCAATGCCGTTGGGCAAAACACTAATTTACAAACCCAAACTAACTGTTTGACATTCTTCAGTCTACAGAAGTTAACCATACCATTTTGTTCCTAGAATAATTCTGAAAGTTTCCTGCATATTTCGCTTTTTTCTCCAAATGTACAGGAGTCCTGGAGCTAAAAGAGGAGACAATTGAAAGTCTTTTAGCTGCTGCTTGTCTCCTCCAGCTCTCACAAGTTATTCAGGTCTGCTGTAACTTTCTGATGAAACAACTGCACCCATCCAACTGTCTGGGGATCCGTTCGTTTGCTGATGCTCAGGGATGCATGGATCTTTTGAACGTTGCTCACAACTACACTACGGTAGGACCTGGCATACACATACATAGTTGCTGACCTTTCACAGTAATTTCCACTTCAGTAATGGTAGAATTACAATTAAATGATGCCTGTATACTCCGATTTCATGGGAGTTGACTGACTGTGATGCAGCAGCTTGGTGTTGTAGAATCCTAATGATTATCTGTGTCTGCATTACAGTAATCCCTTGTATATTTACAGATTAACTAGTGTAATGTCTACAGTACTACGCTGGCGATGTTCCCAGCATGCAATCTGGCATGAATAAATTATGTGGTGGCATTGTTTTACTATTTGCTGGTTTATATTGCTATTGCTATTGTTGTTTTGGCTATCTCTTTTGACTTATTTAGTAACGCTCAGAGGCATTTAAAATTTTGCTTGTTTATTGTCAGTCTCATTGGGTTTTAGTGTGTTGATATCTATACTGAAGGTTCACCAGTGATAACAACGAGTCTGGGAATATTCACAGTATGAGATATCACCACTTGGCATACAAAACCCAATAATGCTGACAATAAACAAGCATATTAAATAACCACCTTAATTGAAGAAAGTTATTGTAAAGAACTATTTCATTTGAAACATACAGTATAGGGAGATATAGATAATACGGGTATGTTTTATTTAATTTTTCTGTTATGGTAGAAAATGTCGTAGCCTGCTCTGATTTCAATACAATAATGTGAAACACGACTGTTAAAGTAATAGTTTACTCACCGTCACAGACTTTTTCTGTGGAACACAAAAGGAGAAATTTATAGCAGAACATCCAAGCTGCTCTTTTCCATACAAAGAAAGTCAACTGTGATCAGGTCTGTCAAGCAAGATTTTCAATGCAAGATTTTGAGTAAATAGCAGACTAAAATATATGTGACCCTGGAGCACAAAACCAGTCTTAAGTCGCTGGTATATTAAAACTAAATTTTTTGATTAGTAATATATATTGCTAAGAACTTTATTTGGACAACTTTAAAGGCGATTTTCTCAGAATTTAGATTTTTTTGCACCCTCAGATTCCAGATTTTCAAATAGTTGTATCTCGGACAAATATTATCATATCCTAACAAACCATACATCAATGGAAAGCTTATTTATTCAGCTTTCATATGATGTATAAATCTCAATTTCGAGAAATTGACCCTTATGACTGGTTTTGTGGTCCAGGGTCACATATATGATTTCAGAGTGCATACGACATATGGACTGCTTATAGAAACCTTTTTTTGTCTATTTTCAAGATTGACTACTCGTTCATTTTACTTTCATTGATACACAGATAGCAGCGTGAACATTCTTCATAACATTTCCTTTTCTATAGACTATAATAAATTCAGAAGGGTTTTAAACAATATTAGATTAGTAAATCATGACAGAACTTTCATTTTGTAGTGAACTATCATTAAAACGAATAACCATCAACTTTTTTCCTGCTTATTAAAAAAGCTGCAGGTTTTAAAGCCTTGTCTGACAAAGAATTCCAAGCATAAAATTATTTGATGTGACATTTTGTATCTCAGCATGCGGTCAGTTTAAAGGGTTGCACAGAGCTCTTTGATGTGTGAGAAATATAGCAAAAGCAGCCTTGGTTAAATAATGGCAATACATTAAGTATTCTCGGGAGCTCAAGGATCCACAGAACACATTTGCTTGATGGGCATTTCTCTGCCCAAGTACGGAAACAACTTAGGAAGATAGCCGTTATCTCCTGAAGGACATCTGCACAGGCTGTTTACAAAGGGCTTTCCAGAGCAGAGAGGTTAATCTAATCAGAGGACACAAGTAGGAAAATTTCCTGTTCGGTCGCTTCGGTAATGAACACAGCTTCAACAGAGCTTCCTGGTTGGCTCGTCCGTGGTCTTCAGATTAAAAACTTCTATTTTGATAAGCCTGTTTTTCCTCATTTGTGACCCTGGACCACAAAACCAGTCTTAAGTCGCTTGGGTATATTTTTAGCCAAAAAAAAACATAGATTTTTCTTTTATGCCAAAAATCATTAGGATATTAAGTAAAGATCATGTTCCATAAAGATATTTTGCAAATTTCCTACCGTAAATATATCAAAAAGTAATTTTTGATTAGCAATATGCATTGCTAAGAACTTCATTTGGACAACTTTAAATGCGATTTTCTCAGTATTTAGATTTTTTTGCACCCTCAGATTCCAGATTTTCAAATAGTTGTATCTCGGCCAAATATTGTCCTATCCTAACAGACCATACATCAATGGAAAGTTTATTTATTCAGCTTTCCGATGATGTATAAATCTCAATTTTGAAAAATTGACCCTTATGACTGCTTTTGTGGTCCAGGGTCACATTTCTGTCTCATCATGATGTTAGTTTTTCTTTTTTGGTGAGAAGCTGCAGACTTGCGTGGGTTAATGTCTTAGTTCAAGATGTCTATGGCCTGTAGCATGCTAGAAGTCTAGGTATTTTCTTTTGAATGTAAAAGGCAGATGAGACAATACTTAGATAAATGACTGACAACACAAACACTGCTCTAGGTCACATTTCTCCTCATGAATACATTAGATTTGGCACAAGCCATTAAATTCTGACATCCTCCCTTACAATTTAATCCATTTAGATCTTACTGAGCCTTGTGCATCTCACACTAATATTGCTGCAGGACCTGATACTTGGTGTTCGGTTAATGCCCTCCCCTAAAATATATGCCCACGAGAGGCTTCTAAATGAATGTTTGCAGTGGAACAGAATTAATGTATTCAAGTAATTGCCAGGGTGCTTGTGATGGTAATTGCGAATAATGAATCTATATCAATGTCACCAGAAGAAGTAAAGAAGTAGAGTTTAAATCTATATTGAGGAGGGGCTGAAAATCAATGCATGGTACTCATTTAATTATGTGTGTCTGAGCTAAGCTCCGAGAGCCCATGCACGGCTTTAGCAGAGACGCTGCTGTTTAGATCTGATTAATGATCAATAGGATGTTTACTGCCCTTATTTGCAACAGAATCAATGGGGATTACTTCTGATGCACAAAGGAAACTCTAGAAGTGCCATAAGTAATGAACAAGCTTGTTAGAGAGATTTCCGGCATCCTCTTCACATGCTACAAGTTGAACCTTGCAAAACGCTTTTATCAGAGAGCAACCTCGGATGTCCTTGTGGATGCATTGGAGCAGATCATTATATCACTGTGATGGACGGAGAACAAGACCTATGTGTTTTTTACAGTTATTAAGATTCTCCATAATGGGTTATTCAAAACAAGATGATATATTCTGTGTCAGGGCCATGTGCTTGTTATATCGTTCTGTATCAAATACTGTTGCGGGTCCAAACCTCTAGTCCATTTCAAGTGAAAATGCTATCTCAACAGCCATTTTATTGAGCAATATTGGTTTACAGCACACCTTTAAACTAAGCTTTGGCATGCTCTACAGTCTTCAGACACGCAGCTTACCAATCTTTTAACGATTTAGAAAAGATGGATCACTGTCTGGCCAACTGAGATTTTGATATGGAGATAAAGGTTATATATGGTGACCATACATCCTCTTTTTCCCCAACATGTCCTGGCTGGGATTTCTAAATTGCCTAAAATGTCGGAGTTTTGGTTTTGTGTTCGTATTGACGTGCTCTCTACATTCCTCACACATTTTATGTACACGTATTTGCATTGCTTTGACTGTTCTCTGTAGATCCTACCTTCACACGCCAGATAATTTAGCCAATTTAGAATTCCTGACCAGGACATGACTGGGAAAAAAGGGTGTTTTGTCACCCTAGGTTAGGTGCATGGGTTTTCAGTAGCATTACAGCACACTGTGAGTGTCTTTCATCACTGTTTGTTGTTTGGATGGGAATTGGCCCTGGAAACTGGGAATTGTAGTCAGACTTAGTCATTAATTACTCGCCCTCAGGTCATTCCAAACCCATAAGAACTTCGTTGAACTGAACATTGTGTTCGTTGAACACAAATGAAGATATTTTTGATGACATCCGAGAGCTTTCTGACCCTGCATAGACAGCAACGCAACTGACACATTCAAGACCCAGAAAGGTAGCAAGGACATTGTTAAAATAGTCCATGTTGACATCAGTGGCTCAACCGTAATGTTATGAAGCTACAAGAATACTTTTTGAATCATGATACTCTCGTGAACATGCGTCGAAGACTGACACAGAAGAGAAGAAATTGTTGAATAAAGTCGTTATTTTTGTTTTCTTTGCACACAAAAAGTATTATTGTAGCGTCATATCATTACGGTTGAACCACTGATGTCACATGGACTATTTTAACAATATCCTTACTGCCTGTCTGGGCCCTGAATGGGTCAGTTGCATTGCTGTCTATGTAAGGTCAGAAAGCTCTCAGATTTCATCAGAAATATCTTAATTTATGTTCCGAGATGAACGAAGGCCTTGGTTTGAAGGTTTGGAACGACATAAGGGTGAGTAATTAATGACAGAATTGTAATTTTTGGGTGAACTATACATTTATTAACAACCGGATTGCTGTATTGGGCACATTGAGAAATCATTTATATATTTAAAATAATAAACTATAACTGATATTTCCATAAATATAAAAATAATTTGTTTATTGTAACACATTTTAGTACTTGCAGTTAATGTCTCATTACATTGCAGCACACAGATTTATAACTAAACAAAATTGCTTAATGTTTCAGGAACACTTTCTAGAGGTCATTCAGAATCAGGAGTTCCTCTTGCTGCCCACAACGGAAATTATCAAGCTTTTGGCCAGTGATGAAATCAACGTTCCAGATGAAGAAACGATTTTCCAAGCACTGATGATGTGGGTTCGCCATGATGTGCAGCACCGACAACAGGATCTGGGAGTGTTGCTGGCATATATTCGACTTCCACTTTTACCACCACAGGTTTGTCAATAGCATTCATATAAGACTCATTTTATTACAATTTAATGCAATCACTGAATAATGTCCTGCTCATCTAATATTTAAATGTTACTCTTTAACATTGCACTCTTTAGTTCCTTCTTCTGTTGGATGTTAATGCACTATTTTTTTTGATGTAGCTTCTTGCTGATTGGAAATGTTACGCCCCTCACATACTGTTGATGCTGTGTCCGGCCGGAGCGACGAGACAAAAACATTAAAACTTTTAGCATTTTACATTTTAGCGTGAGCTGAGGCTGGGCTAGAGAGAGCAGAGGCGGCGGGGTCGAGAACGGCGCGGCCGGCGGATCCGACGAAGGAGCGGCAAGCACATGTGACGACCCCGGGCTTCGTCCACGGTGAAAGCCGATCCGGCGATCCACAGCACTAAGTTGATGTATTCCCTCAGCGACCAGCACGGATCAGCTCCAGGCATGACGAAGCGGATATCATCCTCTTTTGGAAGGCCAAACAAAGTAGTTTCGCTTTCACAACGAAACACACAGCGTCTTCAGGACATGGCGGCGGCGGCAACAACAATACTACAGCGAGAATAAAAGTTACGCCTTCTTTCTTTGCGTGAACATTTGGGCGGCGTTATGCAAATCTTCCCACAGAGCGATGTAGGTATGTGGGGGCGTGTTAGAACGAGGCGTTTTAGGTAGGTGTGGCTGACTCTTAACTTTTATAAAGAATATCTCTTTGGATTTGAGACTTTAGTCTTTGCAACTTTACAGATCTTCTTTATGCACCAAGAGCTTGTAACACTCCAAAGAGAAAGGAAAAATTGAAATCGCATCATATGACCCCTTTAACAAGCTCATTTTTTTTGCCTAAAATTAATACATGTTAGCTGACTGCATGAATTCTATGAAATGAAATGGACATTACTTTCAGTCACCTCTGAAAACAGATAACTCTAAAGTGTAGTGTTGACACATGCATTTTCTGTAAAGCTGCTTTGAAACAATAAATATAGTGAAAAGTGCTATATAAATAAATGTGAATGAATAATCTATGACAAAAAAATATATAAAATTAGATAAGATTCAGCAAAATCTTTGGTGTATAGTATTTTTAAACAGTCTAAAGATGTTAATAAAATTAGTATTTGTATTGTTATAAAATACATTAGTGAATATATACGTACGCGCAGCACACACACAAACAGACATTTGGACAATATGATATGATAAAATTGACAACCTCAGCAAGAAGGAGGACGAGTTTCCGCCAGCTTTAATTTAATGATGTTCTTGGAAAAAAATGTAACACTATTTTCATATATATTGTTTTTCACTTTTCAAGTACCTTTTCATAAAGGCTGTTTTCAAGGGCTTTTCAATACTTAAATGACAAAAAGTCAGATTGAAATACGTAAAGCACCTTGTACAAGCCCTGGTTGGAAGTATGGACGGGTTCAAAGGTGGACCATTATTTAGTATTTTTTCTTATAGCAGTACCACTTACTGCCATCAAAACAGAAATTTTGTACAGTAAAATAGCTATTAGCATAGCAGCATACAACTGTTTAACTAACAATAAAATCTATAGAGTCTACTTCTGTCTACTTTTAGGGTCTACAGCAATAGAGAAATACGACCTTCGCACAAACAGATGGACCCAAGTTGGCATGAATAGGCGAAGACTTCAGTTCGGCGTGGCAGTGATCGATAACAAGCTCTACGTGGTTGGAGGAAGGGATGGACTCAAGACCTCTAACATGGTGGAGTGCTACAACCCAATCACTAAAGTGTGGTCCACCATGCCGCCAATGTCAACCCACAGACACGGATTAGGTGTGTTTTATGAATGCTTCAGATGTTTGTGTAATCTTATTACACAGCTTGTATGAATAATTGTTACACAGTAATGCTTAGTAATTAAATTTGCTCCATTCTGTGTCACTGTATAAATGTGTTAAATGATTAAACAACATCAGCCCTTAACTTTGAAAATCTAATTAGTCATAAACAAAAATTACATATCAGTAAATTAGAAACATTCAAAAATGAAGATATTCGAAATTATCTTGATCGAACATTAATGATGTCCATATTTCATGTATTTTAAATGTATTTTAACTAATAAGTTAAGCATTAGGCTTGTTAATGCTATTAAATATATTTATAAGGCTTTGCTCATTAATATTAAAGAAGCTATGTTCACCTAGAAGACCTAACTTATTAGCTGAAAGGAATACGTTGCTAATCAGCTGGTGAAGAAGAAGAACTCCTACTATTATGAGGGCATAGTTCATGAATGAATATTTATTAATTTATTTGGCTAATTGGCTTTACTTTCTAGGTTACCAAGCCATGTCTGCATGACTCAATTAATATTCACACCCCAAACGATATCGGTTTCATTGATATTCACACATGACGTGTTTTGGTTCAACAATAGGTAGACAGAGCAAAATGGAACAGATCACAGACATCTCTGCCTGCGTTTTGAAATATTTTGACTCTTGACACTCTTAGAAACGGTTCATGGAACAAGACGCTGAAAAGCAGCTGAACGCGACTGAACAGAAATGACGCCCCTGCAGATTACAGCCCGAGGAAATTTAAGAACGTGTCGTGTCAACTGTCTCAGTTTATCAAAAGCCATGTCATGGTGTTTTGAAATGGTACAAAATTTTGTGTCCTTCAATGAAAAATATTTCAAAATAGTTAATTGTTTCTAATTGGCTTAGTTAGCCAAGCCCTAACTAAAACAGATAAAACAAGCTTAAAGAGATGAAAATTCTGGCATTTACTCACCCTGAAGTTCTTCTAAACCGGTTTGAATTTATTTCAGCCGTTGAACACAAAAGGTATTTTGTAGAATGCTGGTAACCAATCAGTTGATGTTAGCCATCTGCTTGTTAAGTCTGACGTCACGCATCGCCACTTCCAGGTCCAAATGCTCTATCAGATGCCACAACAAAGCAACAAACGGTGCTAATATACACTCACAACGTGATGTAATACTACCAAAAATTATAATCCTAACCTTTATCTCCATACCGAAATCCCAGATTGAAAGACAATGATTCATCTTTTATAAATCATTAAAATATTTTTGTCTGGGACGTTGTGAGCACGGAGACTTCGTATACACCATAGGGTTTTTAAATGTGTAATATAAATAAACAGGGCTTATAAATGGCTGTTGAGATAGTATTCTCAAGTGAAATGAGTAGAGGCTTGGACCCGGAAACAGCTTTCCTTACGTCACAACATGCAAACTGACTTGTATGGAGTATGGAAAGAAATACTGTGGAAGTCAAAGACTACCGTAAACTGTTTGGTTACCAGAATTCTGCAAAATATCATGTTTTTGTTCAATAGAGAAACGAAACTTGTACAGGTTTTGGAACTGAAGGGGAGTAAATGATGACATAATTTTCATTTTTGAAACCATTTAATAAAAGGACAGACACTTTTAATTTCATGATTTATTAATTGCATTTAAAGGGCTAGTTCACCCAAAAATGAAAATTCTGTCATTAATTACTCACCCTCGTGTCGTTTCAAACCCGTAAGACCTTCGTTCATCTTCGCAACACAAATTAAGATATTTTTGATGGAATCTGAGAGCTCTCTGACCCTCCCATAGACAGCAATACAACTGAAATGTTCCCAAGTCCAGAAACGTAGCAAGGAGATCTGTAAAATAATCCATGTGACATCAGGGGTTCAACCGTAATTTTTACGAAGCTACGAGAATACCTTTTGTGCGCAAAAGAAAAACAAAAAAAACAACTTTATTCATCAATTCGTCTCCTCTGCATCACCCTGTGTCAGCTGCGTCACACGGATACACTGTTTTCGTTCAGATCAAATCACAACAACGTAGGAAACAGATCTGGCGTGACGCAGCTGACACAGAACAGCATAC